TTACACAACAAACCGAACGGCCGAAGAAGCGGAATAAAATTGAGGGCTCCGGAAAACTTTTTCTCATCCCCTGCAGAGCAAAATTTCCCTATCCCATCGTCAATATTCCAAATCTCCATAATCATAAAACCCGAGGGGAAAGAGGAACCGATGATTGAGCGTTGAAATTGCCAATTATCCGGAGTAATTGAATGTTCACGGTGCATTAAAATACAAATTTCATCGAATCGCAAAACTTCATCACAATTAATCCCTGAATCCAATTCATATTAATGGATGCTGGGCTTGATGCCTCAGCAGTGGGTCGAACATTTGTGGAAACTCACCTCGATTATGCTCTGGAGAACATTCCGGGGGATTATCACGCCTCCTCGGCGGGATAATACGCCCGGGGGAACTTCGATGTCCAGTGGAAGTTGAGGCAGTCCCATAATTCCTTCAATTTGAATGGAAAATAATTAATTACTCACGTGGGAAAATATTCTTGAATACTTTTGTTAACTATAAAAATTATCAACGATTATCATGAGGATATGACAGTATAGGGGAGGTTGGGGTAAAATGGACACTTTTGACTTTTTTTAAAATGTTAATGACGGGTTGAAATGTTGATGAAATTTAATATTTTTTTCTTCATTGCAAAGAACAATTCTTTCCCTTTGTGATGAGCCTAAACTGAGCTGAATTGATCAATTTGTTTCTGAGTTATGAGTAATTAAAACAAAAGTCTAAAGTGTCCATTTTACCCCACTCTCCCCTGTTTCGGCCATTCACCCTAAAAAATCATTTTTTTCATTCGTATTTCTTTTTGATTCGTATTGCTTTGAAATGTATAAAACACGATAAAAATTCTAAACGACGAGTCCATTGTTGTTTTCTTTCACGAAGAAAGAATTAAAAAAAAATTGATTTGTAGTTCTTTTTGATTCGTAGGGAAGGTTGGGGTAAAACGGACAGTTTTGATTTTTTTTAAATGTTTATAAGCGGTTGAAATGTTGATAAAATTCAATAATTTTTTTTTCAATACAAAGAACAATTCTTTCCCTTTGTGACGAGCCTAAACTGAGCTCAATTGATCAATTTGTTTCTGAGTTATGAGTAATTAAAACAAAAGTCTAAAGTGTCCATTTTACCCCACTCTCCCCTATTTCGGCCATTCACCCTAAAAAAATCATTTTTTTCATGCGTATTTCTTTTTGATTCGTATTGCTTTGAAATGTATAAAACACGATAAAAATTCCAAACGACAAGTGCATTGTTGTTTTCTTTCACGAAGAACGAATTAAAAAAAAATTGATTTGTAGTTCTTTTTGATTCGTAGGGGAGGTGGGGGTAAAACGGACAATATTGATTTTTTTTTGAATGTTAATGACGGGTTGAAATGTTGATGAAATTTAATAATTTTTTCTTCATTGCAAAGAACAATTCTTTCCCTTTGTGATGAGCCTAAACTGAGCTGAATTGATAAATTTGTTTCTGAGTTATGAGTAATTAAAACAAAAGTCTAAAGTGTCCGTTTTACCCCACCCGCCCCTATTGCTTGTAAACAAAATGCAGAAAATTGGGATTCCAAAATTAACGAGTTAAATAATTCATCAAGTTATTTTATCACTCATGCCTGGAAATGTATTTTCAACTGCTGCCGAAAATTCATTCCATGCAATTAATCAATGAATTAATTGAATGGTTTGTATCATCCACTTACCGACGCGTCACTGATAATGTCCCTGGATAATGATCTACACTCAATACTCCTTCCCGTTAACAAATCGATTCCCAAGCAATTTCCCCACTCGCACGGAAAACACCCCCTGAAATCCCCTGCGACACTTGTAAACAAAAACCCGTGTCATCCGGCGTTTATTTCCACAATTAAAATGGGAGGATTATCTTTGTAAACACAACACCATAACCTCACTGTAAACTCAAAGGCCACATATGTGAAACGGAAAGGGATCGCAGGGTCGAAGCCGGAGACTGCCGAGGACGTACGAGCCCCCTTCGTCAATTCCCATGGATTCGAAATAAAAATAAGAAAGTAAAGTTATGTATTTTCACTGATTTCGAATTTCTCCGTCTGTCCATCAATATTTATTCCGCCGATTTCTCTCATTACCGCGTCCCAAATGCGTCATTCACGATAATTCATTCGAAATTAATTCCAATTTCCAATCATTTACATCTAAAGAATTGATTTGGCCAGTTGAATGGTCTTCCGGGTTCATTGAAATTGTGGTATTTGGTCATTCGTCCGAGGAATTCCCGCGATGGTTTCGCGTCTATTTTTTTCGGGGGGTTTTCCGAGTCGGTGGAGACATCTGAGCGTGAAGTATTGAAACAATTCAGGGGAGAGAGAAAACGGAGGGAACACGTGACCACTTGACACGAATAATTAGGCACAATCGAAGCGATAAATGAGTTGAAGATGAAGATAAGGGCACAATGGGAGAGGGGTAATCAATGGGAAGACAATGACTTCCTCTCGTATTACGTAACAATCCTCGTTCTATAGAACACCGCTGTACATGTTATATTTATCCATTATTTCCTAATTCCCTAATTGAAGGACGTGATCGGTCTGCAATGGACATTGCAGGGATTTCTAATTTTTAGGAGACAAGATCTATGCGCGCGCTGATCTATTCAGTTGTTGAAATGAAGAAATGGAATTTATTAAATGTCATTTTCTCATGAATACCTTATAAATATTGATAATGAATCAAAGAGAATTCGACTAATGATTGAAGTGAATATCGAAGTAGAGTAGAAGAATCTATAAAGACTTTTTCATTTTCAATTAATTATCTTCAATTTTTTAAAATAATCGGTCTCCATAAAAGGACAGAATTTATTAATTTCACCGATGATATATATACAAGTGAAATATATATATATTATATCTATATATGACGTGAAAAAAAAATTTACCACTGAAGAATTTGAAAATGCCGCGTGTTTTTTTTGTGAATAACTTCGTCACATATTGACAAATCAGAAATAAGGATTAGCGGTCAGGCAGTTTCGAGATATATCGATATAAAACAATTCACGTTTCTTTCATCTTTAGTAAATAGGATAAAATAAAATATAATGAAAGAAAAAATTTGGAGTAATAAAATTGATTAATTAAAATATGCATAAATCATAGGAAGTTGTCAATTAAAAATCACGTGAAGCGCAGTAATAAAGAAAAAAGAAAACGTGAATTTGATGTATGAAAGTGTTAAATTTCGAATCTTTCTTTCAATGCTCGAAGCGACTCCTCATAATATCGGAATTTGTCCCCTCAATGTTCTTAAAAAAAAGAATGTAACGTTTTTTGTCAGCAAAAAAAAATATATATATATTTATGTTCTTCTTTTATTACTGTATTAGAAATAAATTAAATATAAAAAAAATATTTGTTCATCTTAGATTATTTAAAAATTTCATTTTTTCAAAACATATGTTTATTACATATATATTTTTTGAATAAAATATTGAGAAAATATTATAGTATAAAAGAAATATTATTTATTCTTCTCATATTATTTTTTAAAAAGTCATGAGACATCTAATTCTCCTATTATTTTTTCCGAAACTAAATTTTACAGTTAAATGCTAACTCCAATGACCTAAACAATGAAAATAATGATAAAGAAAATCAAGCGAATCGAATAAAGTGGAATTAAAGTTGAAATAATAACATATAACCTTCCAATTCCTTCTCCACATCCTATTAGAACTTTCGTTATTTGCAAAAATTAATCATTCTTAAAAGCAATCGGAATAATGAATGAATATTAGCCATCTATGATGACTTAGCTTAACATGAGTCTCCCACATTTTATGCGCGCGCCACTTCCCTAGTTATAAAAAAAATTAATTCGATGTTGAGATCCTAGAAAACAATCTAAAAACATCAAACAAACAAAAAAAATCTTGATGGAAGAAAAAAGGGGCTGGGGGAGGGCTAATTAACATGAAGACAATGACTTCCTCTCGTATTACGTAACAATAACGCTTTATTATCGTATTTGTTGGTAAAATCCTCGTCGTATAAAACACCTCTGTACATGTTATATTTATCCATTATTTCCTAATTCCCTAATTGAAGGACGTGATCGGCCTGCAACGAACATTGCAGGGGTTTTTAATTTTTAGGAGATGAAAGAAGAAATTTGGAATAATAAAATCGATTAATTAAAATATGCATAAATCATAGGAACGTGTCAATTAAAAATCACATGAATTTTTTGTATGAAAGTGTTAAATTGCGAATCTTTCTTTCATTGCTCCGACTCCTCACAACATCGGAAGTTGTCCCCTCAATTATCAAAAAAATGAAGTCGATGTTGAGATTCTATCTATTATTTACTGGGCCTTCGTCACCTAAACTCGAGGGATACGTTTATGCGTTCTGAGGTATTGAGGTATCTCACTAAACTCCACAAAAAATCACGATCGGAGGAAATAAGGGGATGAGCTGCTCAATTGAACTCACCGTGTCAACAATGATCGTAATGGCGGGACAGTGTACAACACTAGGACTAGCCCAGAGGGGAGCTGCTGATTCTATGGTCAAATTTTCTATGAACATTCTAGCCTACTCCAACAACAAAGTGGTGGAATGCAACAAGTCCTCTGAATCCATATCCATATCCATGATTTTTCCCGAAAAATGTCGAAACTTTTTCCCTCTGCCTAAATTTAAAAATTTCCTGAGACAAAAATCTCCTGACATTTCCCCATGAAACCCCTCACAATAATTCAGTAGCGAAGCGTTAAACTGGGTCAAGTTGATTTCAACTATTGACCAGTTTTTGACGAATATCTCAGAATCTTAAAGAGATAGCAAAATTTTTGTTATAACCTTTTTTGTAGAGCCAATTGAGGGTTATAAAAAAGGTTATGAGAAGAATTTTAGTATCTCTCTTAGATTCCGAGATATTCACAAAAAACTGATCAAAAGTCAAAATCGACTTGACCCGCTTTACCGCTTCGCTACTGATTTTTTTAAAAAATATTTCATCCTGTTACGTTCCACCACTCCACTATTGCCTCTTCATCTGTCACATATCTGATAAACTAAAGACCCCTCAGGCCCCAGGAATGCTCGAGGTATCTCCCCCATAAAAAATAAACCCTCAAGTACTTTCTGATACCAAATTTTCGGAATTTAACATTTTCCTCTAATCTCAGAAGGAGTCGTCCATGGTCAAGGTGGACGAGTTTCTGCTGTCTGGTGTCTGTCCCATGGCAATGTATCTCCTACGAAGGATCTCCTGAAGATCATTCCACGGGCCGTTTACCCTTTTTGGACGCAGGGGACGACCTCCAGGGGACCTAAAACAGTGAGTGACGTTTCAATAACTAATTTGTTTTCTCCCTCAAGTCAATTGGTGAACAAAGGAAGAAATTAATTCCTTACTTGAATTGTTGTTCATAATACTAATTGAACATGTACTATTTATAAACAATTATCAACAAATTAAATCTACAACTCTGCAAATAACTAAACGAAAATAAAAATAGAAAAATAAAAAAAGGAGACTGAACAAAACTAGAGTCTGCTACAAATCATGAAAATAAAAATAATTAAACGTCTGATGATAAAAATGTTTTCAATTGATTTGAGTTATGAAGATCTCTGGATATGAATCGATTTTAGTTTCAGGTAAAGACTAATAATTGTAAACAATTGATTGCCTTGAGGGGATTTTATATCGAATTAAATATTTTACCTTTCGATAGGTTTTAATTTAACTTTGTCAATGTCTTTGAGCATATCTCCCATTGATTTTTGCACTACCAGAGGCTTCTTTCTGTCCTCCAATTTGTGGTCCTGGAGGCTCGATCGTCTTGCGATGTGGGGGGTTGTGGGTGGTGGGAGGGGTGGGGGCAGTGGTGGTGGTTGATGAGTGGTCGTGTTTCCGTTTGATAATGAAGCCATCGACGAATCTGAAATTAACTGGCTATTTATTTTGATTCATTGGTTTAGGTTTTGTTTTGTCGACTGTATTACGTACAATGGGTCTTGCTGTGGTCGGAGGTTTTAACGATCAGTGAGACTTGCGTTCTCAATTCTTGGAGCTCCTGCTCTAGGGCTAGGAGACGCACCTCAGAGCCGAAACTAATTGGCTCTAAGAGGTCTGGTTTACTGCCGGACAGTCTGCCTCTGTCGAAATGAGAAAGTTCAGGCATTAGTGCAGTTACCAAGTCTGAGGTAATTTGGGAGAACTCGATGCACAGCAATTCCATTAAATTCTCATCTATTTGGGCACTAGAATAACTTGTAGTTTATTGGGAAATGATAAGTTAGGAATGCACTTTTCATCGAGTGATATTGCTAAATAATAAATAGACGTCAATGTCGTTTGCCATTATCCGAGGGACTGGTCACTCCTCAATCGAGTGACTCAGTGATTTCCAGAATCAAATGATTTCCTGTGAATGATCATGAATTTTTCAATTTCATTACATTCAGCGAAAAGTATTTCAGATGTTATTTCAGCATCAGACAAAACTGCGATTGAGAGGTACATCGAATGAAAATGAAACGGACGAATTATAGTGTGACTTTACAAAAATAGAGTTGTCTTTCAAATTTGTTAAAATTTTCAATTACATCAATAAGACAAAATCGGCGCTACACTCAGAGAAAAACGACAAAGTTCTCAAACAAGTCTTACTTGTGCCAAGAAAATAGTTTTTTGAAAATGATCAAAAAAGGATATTTTTTGTGCCAAATATGGAGAGAGTGCGCTGGAATGAAAAATATTTGTCACAAAAATAGATTTAGTAGTTAAAAAAAAATTGCATTATCTGTAGACGCAAGAAATGTCATTTCTAGCACTACTCCTTCGTTATTCGATACTCCCATACGTATTTTGCTCCCGAAAAATCTTTGTTTTATGCGAAAAAAGGGATAGTAGTTTTTCGTTTCGGCTGTCTAATAACCACAGACAACAAATGACCCCTTAAATAAACAATAATAATGATATGATAGCAATCTTGTAACGTAGGGATAAAATATTTGTTGATAAATTTTCCTCTGTATGAGATATTTTCATCCGTAGAGGCACCGTCTGGTGTGAATTATCCGCCTCTTGAGCCAAATATTTCGTTGCTGTCGAAAGCAGAACAATTATTCATGTTTGAGACTTTCAAATTCGAACCAAACAAATTCGTTTTTGGCAATTTTCAACTAGCGATTTTGTTGGCCCAAACAAGACTTCTTTAACAACGTGTTTGTTTTTTTCTCAGTGTAGTATTCTCAAGGATTCATCAACCAAAGAGTATCATTTGAGTTAAAAATTGGACAGCAAACAGACACCTGTCAGAGCCCTTCACAACTGTTACCACGAAATCGCCCTTGAATGCTCAGAAAAAAAAAATCCCCCCAAAAATCTACTCACTCTCCAAAATCGTTGGGACTCCCAGCCTCCCCATTGCTCTCCTCATTGATCATCGAGTTGGACATGGAATGAAGAGCAGTCACGCTCACATAAATCTTGGGAGGTGGTTTGAGAGGAAGAAAGGAGCCGATCCGCCTCACGATACTCCGTCTCCTCCCGTACAATTTCGGCGCCTCGTCCATCCTGCAAGCCCCCACACCCAAAACCCCTTAAAAACCTCGTCCCTCACTTAATTTCCCCAATCACCAGAGGATATTTCAACACCTACCTCAGTAATCAATCGTTTGACCCAGAAATGTATTCGTTACATTCGTTACGTGACCCAAATAACCTAAACTAAAAATACAATTGACGCACTTGCAATGTCCAATTGTTGAAAAATAATTCCTTTTTTATTCTGTTCTGGGGGAGTTACGACATCAAAATAAATCCCTTTTCCTCTATTTAGGGAGTATTGCCAACAGCTGACGACAGGTTGTTGTTCTGTCCCAGAGGAAGAGCCCTCGAACATTTTGAGAAATTTCATTGTTTCGATATTTTTTCCTTCATTTTTCTCAATAATAATTGTGGGTAATTTATATTGAACGGAGAATCAATTAATCTTGGGGCAAATAAACGTGAAATTCTAGTCAATATCTGTTGAATGGAACATTGAATGGGGCAGAAGGGTCTCGTTATGCCGGAGAATAATTGCCCAGAGATTGATGTTGATAATTAATTTACTGTTTGGAACTTCAACAAGTGAATCTGGGGAATTGATTGAGGGGTGATTTTACTTACTTGTGGCTTGAGTTGGGGTTGTTTTCAATATTTTTTATCCTTTGGATGCTCCGACCACGCCGTCGACCAGTCGTGGGGGTGTCGACTAGTGCAACGAAGTGAGAGAAAAAAAACACGATTGGCGTCACGGACGCGATGGCCCGTACGGTGGCGGCATCTGTGACTAGTTGCGTTCAACATTGAACATTCGAATCATCAAAGAGAACGGGGGTAAGTACTTCTTGACACGAATACTTCGATTTTGTTCATAAGTATATAATTGAGACTGTGGATTCATTAATTAAATGAATCTATAATTTTAATTGAAAAAGTTGAATTCCGTAGACTGAGTTTAGAGTCTCTAAAAAACGAAAACATAATCGAGAATCAGACACTTTGATTCTCCCAACAGTAATTCATTTAGACTCTTCTTTGTGCTAAATTTTTTCGTGTCACTCAGCTGAGACTGTTGAATTTACATAAAAATGGAATGAAAAACAAATGTGTATTACATGGTTTATTCTGGGAGAAAATGTCATCAGAATTTTTTATGCCAAAAAAAAACGAATTGACATCTCATTTTTTTTACTATTTTTTTATATAAATACGAAAATTTTAATACTAAATATAAAAACAAAAATTTCGTCCAATTTGGTGTTATTTTTGGGCAATGACGTGAATATTTTTAAAAAATTGAAAAAAAAAATTGAGTAATGTGAGGGGAATAATCAGCACAATAATCAGACACTTTGATTCTCCCAACAGTAATTCATTCTTAGACTCTTCTTTGTGCTAAATTTTTTCGTGTCACTCAGCTGAAACTGTTGAATTTACATAAAAATGGAATGAAACATAAATGTGTAATTACATGCAGTTATTCTAGGAGAAAATGTCATCAGAATTTTTTTTAATGCAAAAAAAATCGAATTGACATCTCATTTTTTTTCTATTTTTTTATATAAATACGAAAATTTTAATATTAAATATAAACACAAAAATTTCGGCCAATTTGTAGTTTTTTTTGGGCAATGACGTGAATATTTTTAAAAATTGACCAAATTTTTGTAATTGTACGTGGATACGTCCATGGTCTTTCCTTCTTTCTCGAATTTCCTAGAAACTCCTTGTATTCTCTCAAATATTCTGGAAACTCCTTGAATTCCCTCGGATTTTCTAGAAACTCCCTGAATTCCCTCGAATTTTCTAGAAGCTCCCTGAATTTCCTCGAAATTTCAAGAAACTTCTCGAATTACCCCGAAATATCTAAAATTTTCTAGAATTCCGATAGATGGTGCTGCACATAAGGACCGTTTCCCAAAATAACCCCCCATATTGAAACCATAGACGTATTCACGTCAAAAATTGAGTAATGTCAGGGGAATAATCAGCCCAATAATTGATAAACAGGTAATAAATTTATTATACTCAATAATATTACAAGGTTGCCCTGGTGTCGGGACACTTAATCTTCACCAATGCATCGTTACTCTCGATTGACTATTTAAATTGAATAGAACTGGGTGGTCACAGTGGACGACTGCATTTCGATCTGGCCCATCTTAAATTGGAGCCTGTGCAACCACCGCAGCAATACCGCGTTCGATTCTCGTCTCGTCGATATGAACTGTTCGGCCATTCGAGCCGGCGGGAAGTTGCGACAGTTTTGCAGGCGCATTTGTAGATGGCCAGACAGCTAAAAAAATTATTCATTAAAACTTCTTGGTGTTATTGAATAGTGAGAAGTTTCGGTAATATTTCACCTGTGCATTATGTGAATACAGAATTGGACTCCAGAGGGGCAGAAGTTTGTTGAGTAGGACAGATTGACACTCTAGGAGGGCTTCCAAGAGACTCAAAAAATGTAGATTGACCATTTCCGCAAGCTGAGACAAAAGAAAAGACATTTGTGACCTTCTGACCCCAATTTTCCCGAGGGTTTCGTTTCTCAGCCAAAATGACATGAAAAAAATGTGAAGGATAGCTTGAAAAATTTGTTCATTTTCCAGGAATTGTATGAAACGAGTTAAAAGTGATCTAGTGACGATAAATGACCTCAAGATATGTTCAAAAATGCGAGGTGGTTCACAGGTGGGAGCACCGCCATCTTGAACGCTCCCTCCCTCTGTCGCAAGGAACTTCAAACATGGCGGCGCCTCCACCTCGCAATTTCAGACATTTCTCAAAATTATTTATCCCCTCCAGATCACCCCCAACTCGGTTTATCCGGTTTCTACAGAATGAACAAATTTTTCAAGCCATCTTCCAGATTTTTCCATCCTCTTTTGGCTGAGAATTCCGGGCACAAGCCTTTTCGGCGATTTGAGTACTTTTTGTTTACTTTCGAGGCAAAATAAACTTTTGGCTTCAAAATTCTCACACCACGATTGTCAGCGATTCCAACATTTTCAAACAGACCGTGAGAAAATCAATTTTTTCTTCTCATAAACCGAAGATTTTCAACTTCCAATTTTCGTAATTCGTATATACGCAATAAATCCACAACTACAAATACGACTCACCACTTTGGACGTCGCAACCAACTGAAGAATAGACGGTGTGACCTTTCCCCAGAACTCCACCAGAATATTCATAGTGACATTATAGGTCTCACTATTAGACGAATTGTTCTTCGATATCTCCTCCAGATAGACGGTCCACAGCTGCGGGAAAAATCCAAATAAATCCCTTTCCACACCCCTGCAAAATGATCGCACTCACCTGACACAGAATGAATGCATGAAACAACGAGGACATGTGTAGAACGGACGCCTTGCTCTGCTCGGGGAATCCCGACAGGATCACCTGAATGTGATCGGCAATGTGGCAAGAAACTTCCTGGGGGATGGGCTGGGCGACTGAGACCGGGGGTCCATGGCTGTGGGAGCTATTCCCCGAGCTCATGGCGGTGTGCGTCAGCGCCCCCAGGAGCACCCAGGACAGCAGTCTAATGTGCCCTATAGTGTCCACATACTCGCGCGCTCCCTGCGGGACCATCGAGGGAGCGCTGTACAACCAAGGGAGGTGCCTCGCCACCGCCCTGTTCTCCCTGTTATTCCCCCGGGTGATCTCCAGCGATAAATACTGGGCGAATCCACACTTGAGGATTCCGCCGAGGGTGTCCTCATTCAGGCCCTCCTGCATCCCCTTGCTGTAACTCTTGATCTTGCTCAGGGTATGGACATCCGCGAGAAAGTCCAGAATCTCCGGAATCTGATTCCTGAGGGACTCGGAGGCATTGGTATTGTAAACGTGAGAGGTAATTTCCCCTTGGATTCCGTCAATGGCGACGGTCGAGGGTAACGTGCCCCCCACGTCCTGCAGGACGAACTGGAGGAGGAGGAGGAAATTGTTGTCTGGAATCGTCGACTTGAACTTCATCGCTTGGACTAGCTCGAAGACTATCGTTCGACCCAGGAAGTGCTTATCGCGCTCCCGGAGGTAGGCCCGGTGACAGAGGTATGATAGATCGGTCAAGTAACTGTACTTCAGGTTTGAGTGATGGATTGCGTAGCTCAGGACCTTTGCGAACATGTCCAGAATGCTCTGGATTCAATGAAAATTGTGTTGAAGTTTAGCAATCGTGATAAATTATTTAACTTAAAAAGTTATGAATAGTTTGTGGCCTACGTGATGGGTAAATGGATTTTGAGCTTGAACTTGTTCGAGGCGTATTTAGACTGGGCTGAGGTATATTGGACTATCGAGAGCGCTAAATAACATAACGCCATCTATGATAGCGGCTTTAAAGCCCCACATTTGCGATACACAATCATGTCTGGAAACCTTACAGCGACTGTATTTATGAAGAAGAGTCTCGCCATTGGTAATCGCCGAGTCTAACAATTATGTTGAAGTTTAAAAATCGTAATAAATTATTTAACTTGGAAAATTATGAATAGTTTGAGGCGTATGTGATACGTATTTAGACGATGTGAGACGGATTTAGACTAGGCTGAGGTAAATTGGACTATCGAGAGCGCTAAATAACATAACGCCATCTATGATAGCGGCTTTAAAGCCCCACATTTGCGATACACAATCATGTCTGGAAACCTTACAGCGACTGTATTTATGAAGAAGAGTGTCGCCATTGGTAATCGGCGAGTCTAACAATTATGTTGAAGTTTAAAAATCGTAATAAATTATTTAACTTGGAAAATTATGAATAGTTTGTGGCGTATGTGATACGTATTTAGACGATGTGAGACATATTTAGACTAGGCTGAGGTAAATTGGACTATCGAGAGCGCTAAATAACATAACGCCATCTATGATAGCGGCTTGAAAGCCCCACATTTGTGGTACACAATCATGTCTGGAAATCTTACAGCGATTGTATTTATGAAGAAGAGTGTCGCCATTGGTAATCGGCGAGTCTAACAATTATGTTGAAGTTTAAAAATCGTAATAAATTATTCAACTTGGAAAATTATGAATAGTTTGAGGCGTATGTGATACGTATTTAGACGATGTGAGACGTATTTAGACTAGGCTGAGGTAATTTGGACTATTGAGAGCGCTAAATAACATAACGCCACCTATGATGACGCCTTGAAAGCTCCACACATACAGTACGCAATCAATTTGGAAACCTTACAGCAGCCATATTGATGAAGAAGAGTGTCGCCATTGATAATCAGCGAGTCTGGCAGTTTCGGTTCGAAACTTTCAAAAGTGATAATTAAATACTGAATCCCTCTGCGCCATTAATTAATTAACTACGCGTCTGCTCACCTCATTTCTTCAACCGCAACCATATAATAAGCCCCCAAATCGCGGTCCTTTCTGATATTTTCCCGCAACGCCATACTCAAACGTATTACAGCAGGACGTTTATACTGTACCTTCACCTGATGAATCCCCGGCACCTTCAGAATCGACATCATAATCCTCAAGACTGGCGTGATGTCACCGACGGAGGACAACAAAAGCACAAGTTTCTTGAATATCCCATCGAAAGAGGCCAGAAGTCCACTCCAAGTAGCGGCCCCGGGTCCGAGTCCTGCCTCCAGGGGGAGACAGTCCAAATAACAAGCGATATTATGAAGCATTATTGGCAGTTTGGCCACCGGAAGTGGTGTCTTCTGCACCATCGGCTGAAACAATCAATCCCAAGGGTATCACCCCGCCCACCACCCGATCCAAATGAACTCACCTCAAGTAGCAATTGCAGTGGAGCAATAGGATTCAACTCATTGAAATCGACAAGCGCTTGTGTGACACTTTTGAAGAACTGCATTCTCGTGGCGTCATTGAGGTGTGTCTGGAACATCTGGACGAGGATGCCATTGGGCGCTAGCTGATGGAGAACACACCTGAAGAACTGATGAGCAACACTGACAGCACCCCCTGGCAGATGCATGTTGGTCTCGGTCTGCCAGGGGTAGATGGCGTTTTGCGCGACCTTGGTGACGATTCCAAAGATGTCTGGTAGTAGTGGAGCAGCTAGTGCCGGCTCTCGATGGATGAAGGTCCCCAGAGTGATGATGCACAAGCCCAGTTCCTCATCGGAATACTCCTCCTTAATCGTCCCACATTCAGAGCACCTGTCGTAGATGCAGTCGTCTCCCACCCTGAAGGTGCTCTGTTTAAGATTGAAATCAGCGTGACAAGCCTGTTGGGCTGAGGAGTCCATAGTGCCATGAGGCTGAGCACCCACCCAGGAGTCCATCCTCCTGGTGGGCCCGATGACGTGATGACTAGGCCCAGGATAAACCCTTCTTGACCTGTCCCTCTGGGCCCTAGTGTGATCCCTCAATCTCCCTCGCTTCTCGTGGTCCAACACTCTGAAGCAGAAGTCGTCGGTTTCGACGACAGGTGGTGGTGACTCCAGAGCTACCTGTTTGATGAGTCTCCTGGGGCTGGCGCACCTGCTGGAGGGGGCGTCGGTGGCTACCGGCGTCGGGGAAAGATTCTCCGAAACGATGCTGTCTTGTTTCTGCGGCTGACTGCTCCCCTGGCCCTCCTCGACGGCATGCGCATTGTCCACCAACTCCGGAACACCTAGGGCCTGCCTGACCCTCTCTACCAGACCACTGACACCCTCTCGGCTCATGCCAACGGGGAGCAACCTCTCGGGCATAGGGAACTCCAGCTGCGACATGCTTCTCGGGCTTGCCATATCGCTCGAGGCGCAGGTCTCGCTGTCCTGCTCGAAGGAAGAGTTCACAGTGAGCACGTCCATCTTCGAGAGAGGAGACTCCGGAGAGCCGTACGCCTCCTCGCACCTCAGGATCCTCGGGTTGGGTCGCTGGAGCGCAGACCGTGCTGATGTTCCTATCGGTAGAAGCCTCTCCATCGTCGGAGTTGTGATCATCTGCTGACTCGGCGGATTCCACACCGGGTGCTGGCCGTTGTCCGTCGACGTCCGCTGGGAGGAGATGGAACTCACAGCTGGACTGCTCGAGTCATCGCTCCCCCCAGCCGTCAAAGTTTGACACGGTGACACTGGAGAGGTCAGGGGAGGCGTCTGTTCGACGTTTTTCTGTCTGCCGAGATGTTTGCCACTCGGGGATTCCCCGTGCTCGGACTTGGGGGTCAACGCGGGACTGGTCTTTTCGAACGGAGGGGTGGACTCTTGCTTTTGGAGGCGGGCTATACCGACGGTCGGTACTAGAGCGGAAATTGTTGACGGAAGCTTGCCCTTCGGGTCAGCTGGGGGCTCGGGTGGGGCAAGGGCCTTCTCGGGGATGCTTTGGGTCTTGGACAAGACCTTTGACTTGAACTCGTGTTGACCGGTTATCAGCGTGCTTGCGACCATCATCTTCACGCCTTCTTGAACGCTCCATTTTTTCTGGAGGACTGAAGGCTTCCCCTGAGGCGCATCAGAAAGTCGCTCCAGTCTCGCCGATTTATTCCCTTGATTCTTGGATGGAGTGAGACTTACCTGGTGGGTGTCCTCCTCGTTGCCGAGGAACCACGTGGGCCTGGCTTCGCTCTTGGTTCGTTCGGGCTCCGGCGTCGAGTCCATCCGCGTCAGGAGACCCCCCGGCACCGAAGTCCTTGTCATCATCATCATCATGTTGGCGCTTCTTCCCGCCAGAACCGAACTGTCCTCCAATTCCCCCAGGGAGCCACTGTGCAAAGTACTGTCGGATTTCGGACTCTCGGGTATTGCAGCGAGCTCGGACTCCGTATCATCAGCATTGATGGAGTAGCTTTTTTGTTTTTTGTCATAGCCATTTGTGATAGCGAATTATTGCAGAAGCCAGCCAAAGCTCAAGCGACTAAGTCCTAAATACTCGCGAGGGAAAAAAATGGTACGGCGATCTAAAAGTGCTAACCTTGTTTGCTTGTTCGCGTAGTGCGACGCCGACTCCTCCCAGTGAGTCTCCATGGTGTGGGGCTGGCCCAGAACGGGCCCGGGACTCCGTTGGTGCACGGAAACTATTTGGGTGCGCATTGGTGGGCTCTCGCTGTCGACCTCACCTGCTACGCCGATTAGGTCGTGCTCGGCGCCGAGGGACGGCTGAGAGACATCTGTCAATGTTGTTGACGTGTAAACATCGCAATGGGCACCCACACCCGGAGTGATTACTCCGGATCCAGTGGATCATAGACTATATATTTGTAACACTAAGAGGGCGAACTGCGCAATTTAATTGGTGAGGCGTCCGTAAGATGCCGCTAGTCGGATTGTCCCTCGTACCGAAGGGGAAAGAAGGAGTTCGAAAGCTTTTGGCCAATAGACCTTTTCATTCTGAGAGTCACTAGATTTGCGGACACTTTTTTCCCATGTTAATTCCCCTAGGATTTGCGGACACTTTATCTAATTTACATATGAATCATGGTTTTTGAGCGCTCAAGTGTATATCATTGTAAAGTTTAATATTTATCAGAATTTTCCATGGTTTTTTCGGAGATTTTTTCGTTGAATGAACGAGATAAATATTTCCCCTAGATTTCCAGAATGGAAAGGTCTATAGACCTTTTCATCCTGAGTCACTAGATTTTCGGACACTTGCCGAATTTACATATACTAGGGAAATGGCGCGCGCATAAAATATAGGAGTCTTATGTTAAGCTAAGTCATCATCATAGATGGCTAATATTCATTCATTATTCAGATTGTTTTTAAGAGTGATTAATGTTTGCAAATAACGGAAGTTCTAATAGGATGTGGAGAAAGAATTCGAAGGTTATATGATATTATTTCAACATTTTAACATTGAATTCCACTTTATTCGATTCGTTTGATTTTCTTTATCATTCAAATCAAAGAAAAAAATAAGACGAAAAGTACAAATAATAATTTTTTTTATGTTTAATAAATGAAAAAAATATCCCAAAAATATTTTAAAAATATTTTCTTATTAATATATAAGATATTCAAGTTTAGGATAAAAATATTCCGAAGTCAAGTATGGGAAAATAGATTGCTGACAAAAAACGTTACATTCTTTTTTTAAAAGAGGAAATAATCGATGTCACTAGTTATCAGAATTTTTCATAATTTTTTGAAGATTTTTTAATGCGATAAGTGGAATAAACATTCCCCCTAGCTGTTCAGAATGAAAAGGTCTAGTTACGAACTAGTGGCGCCACACGGCCAAGTGATTTTCAATGGATCCGACGAGGATAGCACTCATCTGACCATCTTTGTTCAATGCTTTGGCAAATGGAGCGGATGCCCACCTGCCGCCATTCCAACGCACAAGTGACGATGAGATGTTTACCCATAAACTTCGAACACTTGCAAAAAGACTCGTGTGGTTGTTCGTAAGGATAAAAATTGAGACTTAACATTCACACCACTATCCTGGTGATTAACGTGACGGTAATAACACCGTCATGTCAAGATATCTATTAAAAACTGAGAATCATCTCTACCTCTAGATCGAGACGGTGGCCCGGCCATGACGACCATCGCCGGAATTCGCTTGCACTGATGGTGTTGAGCGTCCAAGGTGTTCAGAACAATCTTAATCAAGGACTGGAGCTGGGTACACCAAGGCTGCTGACCGTACTGGCACTGCAACGATTATCATCCTTGAAAACCAGTTCAATCGTCTACAATCACAAAGAGATCTTGAGACCTTATAAAGAATGACCAACACCGACATCAGCCAAGATCGTCGTATAGTGGGTTCTAGATACCACAAGCTGTACGAAACCGACTGATGATCGATCGGCGGAAGCTTCGACGGTGGACACGGGCAATGTTGAAGGATCGCTATAACCGGGGGTATCATCATCCACCCCATCACGTGGTTCTGATCCAACAGCTGAGGTAAGTTAGCTATAAAAACATTGAAGACGGAGGAGAGTCGAAGCCGTTGAGGAGACAGATGAAAGGTCCTTTCTGTCTGGTTGTAGCCAAGAAGCAGATAGAGATGCCGTAGAACTATACCCTGGGTCTTCGACAGGGGCTTCTCATCCGTCGGATAAGCCTGAAGGCAATATTCACGAATGAGGTACATGCGGTACTTCCCCCAGATCAACTCACCTGATCGGTCCTCGACAAGAACTGCATGAAGAGGAAGACGAGGAGATGCATGGTCTCCTTATCCGCCTCCTCCAACTCCACAATCTTATGGGTATATCCTGGCAGAGCCCCGACCTCATCCACCATATTCAGAGAGTGTATGTGCCCATCTGCAAGGTAAGAAGGAAAAAATTATAATTCTATCTTACTTCAAATGCCAACTCCTCTAGAGTATCTACCAACTAGATCAAGTGCATTGCGATTTGTGGGAAATAATCATGCATACAACTCAATACCAGTGTAGATGGACTCAAAACTCTTTTTTAATGTTCTCATGACATTCCGACTTACCGATCTATTCCCCCAGCTATATCGAACATTAGTGTTTTATCTATAATCCCCTAGAATAGTTTCCGTGTGACACTAAGAAGGCACATTTACCAGATAAATCCATCTACAGCAAGCATAATACACTACTCTACCTGGTAAACTGTTATTAGTCGGGGTTGACCCCAGCAACTGACCCAAGCCAAATCTCGAGCTCTTCCGCTTCAATATGGGCGCCGAGTACTGGCGACTGTATATTTTTTCCTTCTCTGCGAGATAAAGCGGATAAAGCGGAGGACAGATTGAGATTTTTTACAGTAGGGGAATCAATGTCCAGCGGGTATCGTCGATTTAGATTACCTTGCTTTGTGTCTTGCCGGGGGATCATCGATGCCGGGGCAGACATTGTTCGCTTGTACGGCCATTTTGTGCCGAAGCTTGCGCTCAGTGTTTTCACTGAGCTGGCGCCACTACCGTCCGACTGCGATAGGGCCTCTTGTGCGCGATGCAATTTTCGCAGGAAGGCATCACTGTTCAGGTCGGTATTCCTCAAGTCTGAAGGGAATCGGTTAAATTAGACATAATGCTAGAAAGAGCTCCCTGGGTTCTGCTATTTGGAGGTAAATCTTCCTACAGTAGGTAGATACGGGAATCCCCCCAATGGAAAAATATATAAAAGATATATAGGGGAGGTAGGGGCAAAGCGGACCCCCGGGGCAAAGCGGACCCCTTCGAAAAAAAAAAGTGTGGGGTAAAGTGGACCCTCACATAAATTATTGAATCGAGTCGCCAGAATTATTCTAATACGTTTTATAAAGTGAAATTTACTACCTTGACTAAAAAAATATGCAATGAGGGCAAGTATAAATTTGTGTGAGCTCCTGCGGATCTAATTGTGAACAAGAAATGTGAGTTTTTGATCAACAGCGATTACATTCTATCCAATCGGTAGAACAACATGACAATGACTCCTGACAAACGGAAAATTAAAATAATTTTTAAAAAACAGAGGGTCCACTTTGCCCCAACATTAATTTTTTTTTAAATTTAATGACAGATCTTAATTGCAATTCTAATGAGATTATGATCTCCACGTGAAGTGCATTGACTCATTAGAATTTAAAAAACTAAACGATTCGCTTAGAGGGTCCGCTTTGCCCCTACCTCCCCTATAATATAGGCCAATTTAATATATTTTTCGAATATATATAAGATGTATGTAAAATATATATGAAACATAAATTTATATTTTATATAACTTCTATATATAAATCAGGCCAATTCCATATATAAAATATATAATTTTCAGAATATATATTTTTCCGTATGGGCCGGTACAGTAATTCATAGAGAAAGAGGTGTTTCTCTATTCGACCAACTCATAGTTATCCAGAAGGGATAAATATGATGGGATTTACAAACTCCCGATTACTCGTGGGTCCAGCTTATATAATAATTAAGCGTGTTACAATTACGACACTGATAAACAGTGTTGGACATAAGACAATGGGTGAAGTAAGTTGAACTCAATTCATCGTCAACTTTTATGAATAAATATTTCCCTCATATAGAGGTCCGGAAAGTCGATGGATAGCATACAGCATCCCGCTTTCCAAGTAATTTATGCCTTAAAACATCTAAGGTTGACCGACTAGAATAGCCCAAGGGATAATCTAGATCTTTTATAAATAAATCATTACTTAATATTACAACATTATTGTGGGGCACAACAATACCGATATTATTCAACCTGAATCATCTGCTCACCTCGCAGGCAAGAGATATCCCCAGATTTCTCGAGACTGATTTGAGCCTCGAGAAAAAGTGCATCGAATCGATTTAGGAAGAAATCCCACGTGAGAATCTTACGATCGCTCAAGCTGTTATGGAGTTGATAGAGTGATTGCAGGACCATCGGTCTGTCTACAATAACTGAATCGAATTGAGTCTCCAGGCAGAGGATGAGGCTCTGGAAAAATGTTCGCTACGTCTCAATTTCCATCCGCCGCGATCTCTGAAGAAGCTACTTACCCGTACGGCAGTGTCATGGATCGTTCCCAGGTTGAGAGTAGCTCTCTGAGCAACATAGACATTGCTGTCATCCATGCTGCTGATCAAATAGCAGAAGGCGTTAGCCAGAGCAGCCTGAAGGGTCAAGACACTTCTCAAAGGTGTGGAATCCATGAATCTGGCTATCAAGGTCACCCTCTCAACGGCGACAAACCGAACCCGCCAGTCCGAACTGTGGAATTCCTCCTGCACAAGTCGCCAGAAGGTGTCTGTGCCGCAATGGAGGGTGATACAGTGGAGGAGAAGGGGAACAGTCACTTGAGCAATGTGAGAGTGCTCTGCGTTGAGGAGTTCCCAAAGACTAAACGAAAGATATTCGTCAGACAAGCGATCACAGCGAAAGGACGTAATCAACTCACTTCTTAATGAGAAGATTCTCCTGACACCAGATGAAGAAGCCTTGATGATCCTTAACCGCAGTCGTGAAGGCGTCACCATGAAGGACCATGATGTTCAGGCACTGCAGCATGTAGTAGAGAATGTCTGGCTTGTCCACGGTCATGATCTCCTTGAGGAGTTTATGGATGTATTGAAGCTGCTCAGGCAGCTCTTCGATGTTGAATCGAAATTTTCCAACTGACGTGTGCCAGAAGTCGTCGGTCTCGGCTTCTAAGGTCGGACTCACTGGCTGATCATCCTCACCGATGATGTTGGCCTTGCCGACGTTGGCCGTAGCAGTTGCTGACACAAACAATCGATCATTGAGACATTTCGTCTCTGTTGTCTTCATTTTAGCTGACATTTTCACCACTCACCAACATCGGTTTCTGATAATGTAACAGCACGCGCAACAGCCGACATGACCTTTTCAGCCGGCAGTATAGCAGCAAGATCCAGTTGCTCGGAAACTGTCTCTACTGTTGCTGTCATGATCTGTTCGAAGAACTAAATTTAAAAAACGGTAGGAATTCGTGAATTTTTCATAAACATCCATATTAATCCTACCGTATTGTGTTGGGCTGGCACTTGATCATTTCATCACACAGAATATATACGTTTTTTTGCAATAAAAAGAACATCCAGAAACGACATATCGATATGAAAAACACTGCTGACAATTGGTGTATGTACATTTATTGAACAAAGCACAGTTTTATATGAGTCATCGATTCATGTCACTTGTTACCTTGCTAACGTGGGGCATGTGAACCAAGACCCCAGAGACGGGGTGCATCTCCGCAACGGGCATGTTGATGACAACATCCGGCTTTGAGTCGCCTTTCTTCGAGGACTCCGGGGGACTCTTCCTGCCGTGATCCTCAGCGGAGTCGTCCGCGATCACCTTCAGAACGACCAAATGAGGTAATCACCATAACTTGTGAACACCAATGCCGGCAAATATCTACTCACATCTGGTGGATTTGCTGGGTTCTCCGGGCAGAGGTACATGACAAGCTGAAGACACAACTGATGCCAGATTACTCTGGACTCACAGTACGTGCATTCACTCTCCTCTTTACAAGAGTGACAGTCATTCCAGTTGGCAGCGACTATTGACTTCATCAGATGACAGGCGTCACGACACACCCAGGTGTTGATGCCCGTGTGTTTATCAATGTCTTGGAGCTCCATCTGTTGAGACCAAAAGGTCACCTCTCGCTAGGGGATGTTTTCGCGATGACTTACCTGCTTCAGTAAAATGTCCAACATGAGGATGCAACATGACAGGTTCAACTCGGCGTTAGTCGTGAACTCCATGTGCCTGGCGATCGGCGCCATGTCGTCGGACAGTGGAGTCGACTGGCCCGAGTCATTCTCAACGACTGGACCTACAACACCCCCACGTCTTAACCCGAACGAATGATCATCGAGGGAGCCTTTCTACTCACAAATCATATTCGGATCTTCGTTGTCACTGTTCTTAGCTGCCCTGTAAGGCTTCTCATTGAAGTCCGCGGTATTCGTTGTGCCCATCACAGCCACACCATCGCTGAACATTGAAAATAGCTGGGTCAGGGGAATCGTGATCTCCAGCATCGTCAAGGTCTGCAGCCAGTTGAGGGCCTGCTCCTGAACCTTGGCGCTGGTATTGATGAATCTTTTCGCGACGAAGTTGTACATCTTCTTGGCGTCGAAGCCCAAGGGGCTCATCTCCGTATCCAAGATTTTGCTGAAAGCACAAAGACGAGATGAAAACTGAAGGTGTGGGGGAAAGGCTTGAATCAATTCACTAGTAAACAATTAATATAAAACTGTTGTTTGTTGTTAAACGCATCTTAGGAAAATACAAGTGAAGATGTTGTGTAGAGATTTATTTATTTTATTTGTTTATTTATTGCTTTATACAGACCCAACAGCTCAAGGCCAATTATAGGGTCAAAAATATAATTAAGATACATAATTAATTACAGCATAACTGTAATCATGATGGGGATAACAAAATCAGATTTAACTAAACGTATATGGCAATGAAATTCAGTGATGAAGGTGATGATACATAATAATCATTCAAGGACGAAGAGATTTAAGGTGGCGAATAGCTAATCTAAGCACTTCTGGCATTGGAGATGTGAATAAGCGGTCTCGAACGGTGACAATAAATTCGAGAGACAAGTATATTAGACAAGATAAAGACAGTGCGTGGGCTGGATGATAATTACCAGAGGATCATCTTGAGTTCGTGGAGTTCATCCTCAGGCACGTCGTTAACCATCGCCTCCATCCAGTGGGGCATGACGTAGTCCCAAATTTCGGATGTTATGACTTCGTATGGAACCAGACAGAAGAGCCTATTCAGGCCGTCTTTCAGGTGAGAAGTCCTGGAGGCCAGCGTTTCCCTGGAAATATCACTTATTGAGACGATTAGGTGATCATTAAGACCGGGGATTGCATTCCACCTACATCTGGATCTAATCTGAATCTACAAGAATGTTCTTAGAGCCCTGTTCTCACCTCCGGTTGAAATTTCAAGACGAACAATCACTCACCAATGACCGCCAACTCTTACGTAATCCGCTGGATGCGGCAGCAAGCAAGAAATGAAGACTTTGTAGTGAGTCTTCATGACTTCCGCCAGCCACCCGCAAACATACTCTGTCTTAAGCTTCTCCAAAGTGCTCTCAGCTTGTCCTGAAAGCCCGTCAACTTATAAACCTAGGGCACCGTCAGCTCCTCGACTAGTGTGAGATAACAGCATGCAGAGGACTTGAAACTCTCGACTAAATACTTCATTTTTGACAACTGATAGTCATTCCCATTCTACATTACTCAGCCGCGATGCAGACGCACTCTTGTACACCAAAGAGACGAAAAAATTTACAGTAACACATATATCATTGTGTGTGATACAGACACATTGTGGGTGTATACGTGCACACAAATACCAAATTTTACCTCCCCCATAGCTCTCCATCAATGGATTGTCAAGATTTTAATACAACAACATAAATCCACAGAATTACCAGATACTTGTGAGAACATTTAATGAAGGTAAAAGGAAGAGTGAGAATGTGCCTACGATCGCGGCAACTATCTCATCTAAGTTCTACGTCAGTAGTGAAGTGGTAAAGGGTCAAGGGTCAAACCGCATCAATAGGATTGTGAAAAAAGTTTGTCCCATTTCGGGGCGCCAAAAGGTAAGTTGATCCACTAGTACTTCTCCCGAAAAAATGTATCGCTAAGGGCGAGGAATTGAATCAACTTGTGACCCTCGACCACTTTTCCACATCTACTTGTAATAGAGTAAGTGGTAAAAATGCAAAAGTTTTGTAAATTACCAACAGAAAAGATAAGGTGCATAAGGCTTTTTTTAGTACCATCGAATGAGTACGCAGTGACATGAAACCAATGAAATAACATTGATAATAAACGTCCGAGTATTTCAATCGGTGTATCACGATTTGGAGTACAAAGTCCAACAAGTAGCCAAACACCATAGCGACCGAGTAGTTGTCGTTCCTCGAGGGTAGTTGGATCACAAAGTCCTATTTTTCCACCAACTCCACTACTACCACTAGCACCAGTAACACCACTCCCTGGGAATCCTATGCCGGCCTTATTAGTATTTAATTCGGAGGGGTCTCTGTTACTATCCATACTTAGCGGTTCTGCCTCCTTAAGCAGGCTGCAAAATCAAAATTTGGGGTGAATTTTGGGGGATTGGTACGAGGGATCGTTGAGAGATCGAGCCTTCGGAAGTCCTTCGACCTTCAATGGTCTCTATCAATCAAGATCCTCTCGGTGAGTTGAGCTTGACAGAGTATGAGACAGATCAGAATAGACTACGAGATCTCTAAATTAGTGGTACCATAAAACAAGGCAAGACAAATCCATCTTTTCGTCATATTGTCGCGATGAGGGCCAAGAAAGCTACAAGTTCTTGTCTTTTGGCCTTTGCATTCAATTATTTCTGACCAATTCTTGTCGAGACATCTCATTTCATGCACTTGAGAGAAAAATAAACACGTTGTTAAACAAATCTTGTTTGGCCCGACAAAATGGCTAGTTGAAAATTGCTAAAAAAGAATTTGTTTGGTTCGAATTTGAAAGTCTCAAACATGAATAATTATTCTGCCTTCTACAGCAACGAAATATTTGGCTCAAGAGGCGGATAATTCACACCAGACGGTGCCTTTTCAGGATGGAAATATCTCATATAGAGGAAAATTTATCAACTAATATTTATCCCCAAGTTATAAGATTGCTATCATATCATTATTATTGTTTCATTTATGGGTTCATTTGTTGTCTGTGATTATTAGACGGCCGAAACGAAAAACTACTATTCCTTGTTTCGCATAAAGCAAAGATTTTTCGGGAGCAAAATAAGTATACGAGTATCGAATAACGAAGGACAAGTGCTAGAAATTACATTTCTTGCGTCTACAGAGAATGCAATTTTTTTTGTATTACTAAATCTATTTTTCCGACAAAAATTTTTCATTCCGGCGCACTCTCTCCATATTTGACACAAAAAATCCATTTTTTATAATTTTCAAAAAACTATTTTCTTGGCACAAGTAAGACTTCTTCGAGAACTTTGTCGTTTTTCTCTCAGTGTGTGACGTTCTCCTTGTCTTGTGGCAACACTTCGCTAAATCCATAATGAAGATACGCTGAGAGTAGAGCCATGCATGCATCAGGAGTAATAGACATAGTTACGTGTAGGAGATATGTGCCGAGTTGTGTTGCATGCACTGTCGTAAATTGTTTGTAAATTCGATAGATTGTTAATTTGGTTTGGTTTGTCGATCCATGGTGGTCTTACCAAGCAGCATGGAGACAGCTGACATAGACGATAAAGCAACAATGACCTGCGACCTTTGAGGGATTAGTGAGGCCCAATGACAATGATTATTCATATATATCGGTAACATTGAACCAATCGTAACAAACATGCTGATTATTCTTAGAAACAGTATTATCATCGTTTGGAATCAACGGGCCCTTGGAGGTCTGCTTACGATTTCTTTAATTTTGGATAAGGTACTAGTGATTGAGAAGTTACCTGACTATTGCCTGCACCAGGTAGGTCTGCGATTGGTCATCCATCTCGGATATGTGGGGCAGCGCCAGGTGGAAGACGTGATCTCCACCTCTTCTGTTGTTGTGCCTGATGTTGTGGCACTGTTGGCAGTAGCGGATCGGGTGGTTTCCGTTGTAGCTTGCGCACTCTGTCGAGAAGCAGACGCTTATCGCCGATTTGTCAGTTGCTCTGCAATTCTGAAGGAAGTACAAGTCATTCTAGATGAAGTCGTCATCTCCTAGGAGACAAACATCCAAATTAAGTGGTGGATTGAGACCTTGTTTTCGCAGACCATCGAGACCTGCTGCATGGGATGGAGTATATCATAGAACGTTTCGTTAGGACACCCTCGATGAATCTCATTGGCACACTCGATGCACAAGTAGAGTGGCGGTGGTGACTCCGTGGCGAAAGTTATGGATATTCGATGATCGTAGCAGACTTTTCCGGCTTCAGCGTTTCCGGAATTCGGGCAGGAGTTCCTCTGGCAGACGAAGGGCGCCAGATCATCTGAAAGTAATGGCTTTTTGGTACACTTCGTCTAGAGAGGAATGATTTGTGATCGATGAAAGGCATCATTACTGGCGATCTTCATGAGGACAGCTCTCCGATCGAACAGATTCTGGTTGAAGGTCGGCCAGTAGTAGAACAAGAGCTTTGCGGCTGATGCCTTGGCCGGGGCTGTGCCGTAAGCCACTACACAGAGAATGTCCTTCACCACGTTTGGCTTCAGGGCCATCAGACACTCTAGGAGTTGACAGTGATGCGCGGGATTGGTGGAGTACTGGAAGATCATCATTATGACTGCCGAGACAGACTGGCTGGCGTGATTTTCTGACTCGTCGAGGGTTTTTCTCGCTGCAAGGAATGTTTCTTCTCATTATTACACGGAGAAATATTCAACAAAAATTACGTAAGTGCGGTTGTAGGAAATTTTGCGGAACTGTCACGGAATTTTTCCGGAGTGTTCCGTAATTTTTATCTGAATCTCCTGTGAAAAATTACAAGACCATCTTTTAAATTTGTTGAGTCGATTCCGTAATCGGTGAGGGAATTGTGAGTTCCGTTGTTTTTACTGAACATTTCTCTCCGTGTAATGAAGGTTAGATGCAACTGGGGGAATCCCAGTTGCGCTTTGAACTAGAAGCATGTGAAGATCCTGATTCGAAAGGAATGCTTGGATTTTCCAGTTCAAAATTCCGTGAAATATTCGGTTTGAAAAATTTTGGGAATTTTTGAATGAATATATTCGTCTTTTAAAACAAGAATGTAACGTTTTTCGTCAACAATCTATTCCGCCATGCTTGACTTAGGATTATTGCCATCCTAAAATTAAATATCTTATATATTAATAAGAAAATGTTTCAAAAATTTATATACATTTTTTTATTAATATATATGTATATAATTTTTTTTATTCAAAAAATATAATAAAATAAATATAAAATATATTGCATATATATATTTTTTATTTTATTAGAAATAAATTAAATATAACAAAAATTAATTAATTTTTTAAATAAAATTTAAAAAAATATTATAGTATAAAAAAAAATTATTATTTGTTCTTGGTTATTATTTGAAGGATTTGGAAGATTATATGATATTATTTCAACATTTTAACAGGTCAAAGTGTTGAAATAATATCATATAACCTTCCAATTCCTTCTCCCCATCCTATTAGAACTTTCGTTATTTGCAAAACTTAATCACTCTTAAAAACAATCTGAATAACGAATGAATATTAGCCATCTGTGATGATGATAGCTTAACATGAGACCCCTACATTTTACGCGCACGCGTAGCGCGCGCCATTTCCCCAGTATTTAAAAAATTGTGATGAAATTGGACTTGGCCGGGACTCGAACCTGGGGACTTGAGGTTGTGAATCTATTGCGGCTGCCGAAAGCGCCACACGCGGAGTTGAAGAATACCATTTTCCTCTCGCCCACAAGCGTCGATTCGTCGAATAACTAATGAATAAAATGACGAATGCCACTTACTTATCGTAAACGGAAGAATATAAAAGCACAGATGATTGACGACTTCCTGATGCAGTTCAGGTGGGAGGACCGATATAGAGCTAGCCGTCAGATAAGGCAAATTGTCCAGAAGGTCGTGCTCCAGGAATGGCATCAGAGACGCGAGGCACTGCAGCAGCGCTTGGCCAAAAGCTGCGCAAATTACTCCCATTAGATAATGCAATTGTTTTGTAAACAATGCGTCACTCACCGGCAAGGCCGATGTGCACACAGGAGGATACGTCGATCAGCTGAGTCAGAGCGTTGTACAGCTGCTTGTAATCCAGATTAGGATACAGCGCCATCCGCTCAGCATCAAACTTCTGGGATTTTATCATTTCCAGAGGGGATTCTCTCACCTCTTTCAATAACGCTGAAATCAAAATCAAAATTGATCAAAAATCAAAATTCCCTGGTTGAAGGCTTAAGGCCCGGGTGGATTATCTTTCGAACGTTATCTCGATTGTTTTTCCATCTTCATAATGTAAAATATACACGGAGAGAAATATTCACTTGTAATACCACAAGAGCTTCAAAATTATCCGGGTATTTTCCGATAGGTTCGTTGCAAACAAACGAAGGAGTCAAGTTTTTCAGGTTAAAAAATCACGAGTGCGAAACACGAGTGATTTTTCCTGAAAAACTTGACGACTTCGTTTGTATGCAGGGAACCTTGAGGAAAATGCCCGATTAATTTTGAAGCTCGTGTGGTATTCGGGGGATTATTTTTCCAATCCAAATGTCGGGCAATATAATTGGACCATGAGACGAAACTCACAATTGAAAAACGAAAATTGTATAATTAACACTCATTTCGAATAAAAATCCTCGGATTACCACAATTGAATTCAATCTGTCAGTTTGACGAGGGGTTAATTCGACTGCATGATGTTTTCTTTTTTATATAGCGACTACCAGAGAAAATTATCAAAAAATTATCATTTTTCAATTGTACAATCATAATTTTTAGAGACTCCAGGGCTATGTAAAACTGAATAGCAATTGGAGATCATTTCAGATTATCAAAATTAAAAAAAAACAATCAAGATCACGTTTGACAGATAATCCACCCGGGCCTTAAATTGTGACTTGAATTTTTCTTTACACAGCAATGTTTGAGAAAAATATTTCACAGTGTTCGCCATGTCGAAGCCAGAGGGGGTGGGTTGAGTTCCATGGAGGAGTCTCAGATAATAATCGTGGAGACTGGATAGTTTGAGAGTGTCTGAAATTTCAAGAAAATCCATCCGGAAGCCATAATAAATAATTTCAAGAAAACTTGGATTGTGGAATTATCCGCCATGAGCGTAAGATGATACGATAGGAATGTACTCACATGCTGCTGACCGGGTCCCCATGTCTGCAATTTTTTATCTCTGAATTGGAATATTCTTACGCAATCGACGGATTTTCCTGACGATTGGGTGAAATTTGACAAGTGTCACGGGGTCTTGTCATGCCTTCGGTGAAGACGAGACACTTTTCCTATCAATGAGACTTCCGGAGATGCTAGGAGGGTCCAGCTGGTGTCATGTCCTCTCCCGAATTGCGCAATCGCGCATCGATTTTCCCGCGGGAGATGCGCGGGGAAATTTTCAGGAGTTTTCTGAGGTGATTCTGTCCTTTTGGAACGAGAGTGAGAGTCACTCTGGTGATTCATTCATGGGAATCTGGGGTGATTCAATCTCTCGGTAATTCATCGATTCAGAGTGGCTCTCGTGATGCGGTTTTAATGGATAGGAATGTATTTGCGTTGTTAAACTGCAGGTACTCATCGATATTTCCGAAGACAGGGGGTATTGTTGTCGGCTCAATTCAGGTGGTATTTATTGAGACAGTGAACCCACCCGACGATATGTGTGTCACGAATAGGCGGCTGATCGATATCAATGTAGGAGGCATGATGTGCATTTTTAGGTGGAATATTGATTGGCGAGTGTGAGCTCAGGGTTCCATAAATAAAATTTTAAGCTGTGACGTTGGAATGCAGATCAATGGTTTTTGGAATTTATCATTGCCTTGATGTCGGCCGATTTAGAAAGGGAAATCATTTTTTTGGGGAGAACAAATGGAGAGGAACTGGGGAAGGGATTGATTTGAAGAGTTCATTTCTCTTTTTTTTTGTTGATAAACCGAACTCTCGAGAGTCACGAATATTATTGAGAAATATAAACAACTACTCTGTTAAGAATTTTCCAATGAAATATCAGGGAATTTCGCCATTGAAAATTCATGATTTCGTGAATTCATGAGATCGTCAGTGAAAATTAATGGAAAGTCATGAAAATTCTGAGAAACTTCTTCTCGAATTCCAGACTCCAAATTTTGAAGAAATTTGTTCAAAAATTCCGGGAATTCCAAGAATTTCAAAGAAGAGTTCCCTGAAAATTCAACGGAATTTGGTAATGAATATTTATTAATATTTATTAATATAAATTGTGGAATTTCTGTCTTTCTGCCGCTAAAAAATTGTGACTCTACTTGAATTTTCAGAGAAACTTGAAATTCCATTGAATTTTTCCCGAAAATTCAGCCAAATTTTTTCAACATTTAATCAACTCGCAATCTCTAGAACAGAATAAAGCAAGCTTTCAGGGTGACTAAACCCGCAATTAAAAATAAATTAGTGATAATTTCAAAAACTAGACGTCATCCTAACGTCCGAATCGACCAGAATTCACCGAAAAAACTCTAATACCTTAAAAATTACCTAAAAAATTCATAAACAATGGCATGAGGAATTACGTTGAGAGAAAAACGGAGACGATTAATCACCGCCAAGAACCTTAATTTTTTAAACAAAAAATATTCTGGAATTATTCAGAAACTGTCGGATAGATTGAATTAAAAACGTAATTGCTAAAAATTATAGAGGATTATAATGCGAACGTCCACAAAGATGACATTACCGTCTCTATTATTTATCAATATCACTTGCTAAGGAATAAATAAGTAAATAAGGAGAGAACTTGCGGTTCTCTCTTTATTTATTGATGACCTCCCGAGATTCCCCTTTTTTAAAAATTATTTCCTTCAAAATTGTTTGAAAAACAACATTCCGACGATTAATCACCGCCAAAAACCTTAATTTTTCAAACAAAAAATATTCTGGAATTATTCAGAAACTGTCGGATAGATTGAATTAAAAACGTAATTGCTAAAAATTATAGAGGATTATAATGCGAACGTCCACAAAGATGACATTACCGTCTCTATTATTTATCAATATCACTTGCTAAGGAATAAATAAATAAATAAGGAGAGAACTTGCATTTCTCTCTTTATTTATTGATGATGACCTCCCGAGATTCCCCTTTTTTAAAAATCATTTTCTTCCAAAAGGTTTCAAAAACCACATTCCCCCTCCCCCCCCAAACCCTTTATACCGCGACACCTCAAAAAATCTCTAGTAATCATAATACAATCAAAATATTATTTCGTGACTCAACATGAACCGGACGTTCCTGGCGCACAATCTCCAGCTAATCGTCACCAACAATTCCTTCGACCTCGATTTTCCCCCAGAACATCTCGAACTAGATAATCACTAACGCACAATTTTCTCGATCCACACACCGCCTCGATGGAAATATATTCCTCCCCAAACCCCCGTGATATCGATTCGATACGCGCGTCCGAGGAAAGCTCTGTGCATGAGGAAAAGTGAAAAAACATTGACGCCATGAGCCCAGTCGTCCCCATGTGCGCTCGCGCAGGAAAGACACATGGAGAATCCGTACATGCTGAGAGCCCGTGGAAAACATTTGCGCCTGCGAGTAAACGACGATCCAAATGGTTGCCTTGGACACGTAGTGACGCTGATAGTGGTCTCTAGTCTCGCTTCAACCCCGGAACAAGTGGTAGTCACTCTTAGATCACCGGTGATAGAGAGTCGTCATCGCATACCCCTGGTGCCTCCACCGAGTATCAAGATCATCCCCTGAGTCATCACTCCTGAATGTCAGGTAAATTAATTCAAGTCAATTTAGTTTAATTTAAGAAAATGCTTTTCTAATTTTGTAGACGAATATCTGACCCTAAGTTTCCGGATATTTTGCAATGATTGTATTATTTAAAGGTTGCAGGCCTGAATTGGAATCTCGACATTGAACCGTTCGAAAACATTTTAAATATATTAAAATTTGATTTTAAAAATTTCATTTTCTTTCATTTTTTCAATTTTTAATTTTAAAAAATTAGAAAGTTTACTTTTGCAGGAAGAGTGAAGATTTATGAAAATTGCGGGCATTTTCTGTAAATAGTTTATAACCAATCAATTTTCTACCAAAAATCATTTGTTCGAAATCATAAAAAAATTATTCATGTTCAGAATTTTACGAAAAATTGATTTCATGTCTAAAAAAATAAGGTTTCCAAAAGTTTGAACAATGTTACTTATTCATTTATAACCACCGAATGTGTAAAAAAATAATAATCCCGTGCAAAATGTCATTTAAATGACGCTGAATTTTCATGACTGTTTTCAAATTTTTCTCCCGCAATTAATTGACAAATTTTACGATTGCAAATGGTTGAAAATTGTAGAAGATACTTGAATATCCTCACCTCAATTTTTAATTTAAAACCAAGACAATTATTTTTAGATTAATTATTTTTAAAGACAACTCAATAGTAAATAATTTTTCAAAATTTATGAATGCGAAATGATAAAAAAAAAATTGAATTCCCCCACACGTGCGGCATTCACCCCCCGCATCCCTTAGAACATGTGATTTGATTATCACTGTAACACGCTCCGTATGTCGCCCTAATTACGGCCCTCCCCATCACGATTCCCCTTTTTTTTCGCACTACCCATCGCCGCCTCAATATCGTAGCGAAGCAATTCCAATATTTTTTCATTATAATTCGTCGTACGGCTGCACCCAATGGGATTAATATCACTTCCAATTTCATCGTGTCTACCTTCCAATTAAACTCGTCGAATATATTTTTTTATTATTTTTTAGCGAATTTTCTCAACGGTCTCAACAATTCGGAAAAATTAAGGTTTTTGAAAAAATTATTGTTGATAAATTGTGAATATCTCCCGGAAAAACGCCAAAAATATCATTAAAAGGAAAAAAAATGAATTTCCCTCCCCTAATTTAATATTTGACACTCGAATTGATTGATAATGTCCATTGTGCGAGCCCCATGTGTTTCACCATTACTTAATCCTCTGGCCAAACCCATTGAGCATGAAATGTAGAGCCCTCGAGAGACATCTGAAAATCCTTTCATTCAGATTTATTGAGGTAAATATACACGTGGGATTTAAATTTGCGCAATGCCACTGGCATGTCCATACCCCAAGACACTTCACGATTTATTTACGTGGATTTTCTTTACTCTCGAGTGCATTATTTTTTACCTATGGGTGGCCTATACAGGGAGGGGTTCTGCCGTTCCGTAACTGAAAGTTAAAAAAGTCGTATTCCAGTTGAGAATGGATCTAATACTGGGGCATCTAGCTTTTGCACGATCGATACCTGCAATTGCAGTGGCCGTTGAGGTATTTATGTTCCGCGAGAAGGGGGTGGGGGGTGGATCGACACGGGGTGGAAGTAGTCACGACAGAGCTCATGCCAGACAATTGTCAGCGAATGTTAAGTTTGGAAATGAGATGACAGGGCCGTGACGAGTGCAAATCACTAGCGAAGTGGTAAAACGGTTCAAGTCGACTTATCTCCCAGTTCAGTTTTTCAGAAATATTTCCGAATCTAAGGGAGATAGCAAAATTTTCGTAACTGAATTTTTTGTAGCTCTCAATCGGCTCTACAAAAAAGGCTATAACAAAAATTTTGCTATCTCCCTTAGATTCCGAGATATTCAATGAAAATTCGTCAATAGTCAACATTGAGTTGTACCGTTGTACCACTTCGCTACTGAAATGTGTTCGCAATTTCACATGGAAAAAAAACATTGGAAAAAAATTACCGAACAAGTCGAGTAATCGCGGCGCAAACTCGGTTTTCAGTACTTTTTCACCCCAAATCGGGGCAAAAGTGCGAGACGAATAGTGAATTTTTCGCCGTCGACCCGGGAAAATTCACACGGAGAGAAATATTCAATGAAAATTACATCTTTTCCGTAATTCCGGAGCGAACTGTGGTTGTAAGAAATTTTACAGAACTGTCACGGAATTTTTCCAGAGCGTTCTGTAATTTTTACCTGATCGAGACCGAACGCGCGCTACAGCGCACTATATTGTAACAATCATAGTTGAAAATTTCAAAATTAAATTAATCACGAACTAAATTCGCTGCCTCAGACGACTGGAAGCAATGAGGAATAAGCGTGATAGACTTGCGAGATATCGATAGCTATCGACTTTAAGTGTATATTGTTTTTAGAATATGATCTCCTGTGAAAAATTACGATACCGTCACTTAAATTTTCTGATTCGATTCCGTAATCGCTGAGCGAATTGTGAGTTCCGTAATTTTTACTGAGCATTTCTCTCCGTGTATACTGAACGTGAGGGTAATTTGTGCCGAAACTGTAAAATTTACTCTGCATTTAATCAAAAATTATCGCAGTGGACGTGAATGATTGCTCAATTTTGCGTATAATTTTTCTGTAACGGAGAAAGACTTTTTGCAAATTTTTTTGTAAAATTTCACTTCCGTTCGTCCCCGTGACCTTCAGATAGCTGCAAGAAAAAAAATAACCTACCGGTGTGGGGAATATTGTACTGTAAAAAACAACAGATATTTTTTTATTGAATGACAAATGTAAATAACATGAAATTACATTTTCTACATCTCTCCACGATTGCCTTTCGTACACTAAAATTTAACACGATTTTCTCGGTAATTTTTATCCAATTTTTCTCCCCGTGCAAGATGCTGCAGGGACGGGGTGATGAAGTTAAAAAAATGCGGGTGTGTGAACAAAGACGTGTGGTGATTTCTGGCTCGCCTTGGACAATCAGTTCCTGTCTCCGTCCCAAGGTTCACCTGGCGCATGACTCAAAGAGTCAACGCGCCAGAGACCATTCCTTTTTCATTATCATCGTCACGATGTTTGAACTGGGTGAATAATGAATGTATGAGGGATGGAGGCATCGACGAGAATATCCTGGGATTAATCGTTGGGAAAATGATTCGACCCTCGCGGTTCTTCGGGAGTAGAAAACACTGCTGAAATGCAGGAAAAAATTTGCGGTATAAATTCTTTACAAAATTGTCTTAAAAAATTTGTTCATTTCATAGAAACCGGATGGAGTGAGTTTCGGGTGATTTGAAAAGAATAAGCGATTTTAAGAGATGTTTAAAAATGCGAGGCGCATGCTCCGCCATCTTCAGAACCCCTTGCGGCAGAGGGAGGAAGCTTCCAAGAAAGATGGCGCCCGCATCTGTCACCACCTCGTGTTTTTCAACGTCTCCTAAAATTATTTATCTCCTCCTGATCACCTCCAACTCGTTTAATCCTGTTCCTAGAAGATGAACAAATTTTTCAAGTTAGCCTTCAGCCTTTTTCATCCACTTTTGACCAAGAATTCATGCCGCAAAGTTTTCTCAATGAGGTTTCTCTTAATGAAATCATTTGGAGTCCCTTGCAGTCGCGCAATCCATTTTTTCATCAATTCTCCTTTCAGGGAGAAAACTGGGTGGACTGAGTTTCGGGCGATCTGAAGAGGATAAGCGATTTTAAGAGATATTTAAAAATGCGAGGCGCATGCGCCGTCATCTTGAGAACCCCTTGCGGCAGAGAGACTAAGCGCCCAAGAAAGATGGCGCCCGCACCTGTCACCACCTCGTGTTTTTCAACATCTCCTAAAAATATTTATCTCCTCCTGATCACCTCCAACTCGTTTGATCCTGTTCCTAGAAAATGAACATTTCTTCAAGCTATCCTTCAGCCTTTTTCATCCACTTTTGACCAAGAATTCATGGCGCAAAGTTTTCTCAATGAGGTTTCTCTTAATGAAATCATTTGGAGTCCCTTGCAGTCGCGCAATAAATTTCTCATCAATTCTCCTTTCAGGGTCGCCCACTCACCATGAGACCCTCCCTCAGTGATAAAACAACCAGCCCAAGCCCAACGATACCCTGACCTTCATCTCAAAAACCATTTCCGAGGCTCGTGACTCAGGAGCCACTCGTGACGTACCCTTTCGCCCTCCTGTCCCGTCATCCCCGAGGTTAAAAAGATGAGTGCAATATCGACGCTGTGCCGCGGAGACACGCAGTCATCAGTGAACCGTCGGCCGAGATCACCATCGCTGCTCACCGCTCAATCACCGGAGATTGAAATTTCCAGTGAGTGAAATTTCCTCATTCAAATTTCCAAATCTCCCGCTAAATATGGGACATTATTAATCGCTCATTCATTCAAATGAGAGGGTGGGGGGGTGGGAGGGGGGAGGTAGCGGGAGAAAATCATGGAGTAACACCGAGGAATGCCGTCGAGTGTTGACTCGAGATCCCAAAGTGCATCGACCCGTTCCCCTAAAAACCAGTTTGACCTTTCGAAGGAAAATGAATCAAACGAACAGACAAAACCGCATTTTTTTTTTATTTCCTCCTCATTTCTCACGAATTTTCGTCAACGGTTTTACCTGCCCTCTTAGTCACCTGTCAATGTTGTAATTGGCACCAATGTGGCGCAGTAATGTCGCAACGAGTTGGCGAAACCGATGAGACATCCACTCGCCATTTAAACGAAATAAATGAAATCATTATTTTCGATTTATTCAACTTCCAGTTACGGAGGAGGAAGCACTGTCCCTCAAGCGCCCAGCGAATTTCACTGTCTCTGGGGAGTCTGAGGTGCCCAGAAAGTCACTTCGTCTCTCTCTGGAACCTATTGACGGACAGAAAATCATGCCGTCGTTGACGAGATCGTGCGTTACACTGCCCAGAATTAAACGACTCAATTTTCAATCGTGCAAAGGTAAGAACTCCATTAAATTTTTTTTTTCATTGAAAATTCAATCTGTTTCGCCCCCTCAATTTTCTGAGATATGTCAAACATTCATTTGACAAAATCAAATATTTTTTGTCTATTTTTTTTCTCAATTTTTCAATTTTCATCTATTAAAAAAAAAAAGGGAGAATAGAAAAAATGTAACGAAAAAAATGAACTTTTTTTAAAAAATTTCTCAACAAAAACAAGAAAAAAAAAACAAAATTAAGAAAATTTTCAAAATCATTTAATAATTTTTTTTTAATGAAAAAATTATAAAAAATAAAAATTAACTGTATTTCTAAAATCATAAAATTAATGATCCTCTGCATTAAAAAAACTGTGGCAAAATGGCTCATCCTTAATCATAAAAATGTATAGTCCGTTAATGTAGAGTCCGTTATGTTGTGAAAAAAATTAATTATTCTATTGCAGACGGACCTGCAATAGTTCGTATTACGACTCGGTCACAAATAATGATTTCCAACGAACGAAGAATGACTTTTCTTAGTGAGAAATCATTCGACGATACCTCCTCGCTACAATTACCCCCCCTCATTAGTGCTATCGGTGCGTTTTTTCCTGACGTCATAGTGTACATTCATTCGGCCTCGTTTATCACACACACATGTGTTGGCTTCCACGTTTGAGTTATCACGAGTCGCGTCTTCAGTGTCTCAATTCAATGTGTAGAGTTTTCTCGAAATAATGATGATGGCAATGATGGTGATATAAAAATTGATATCTGGGTAGATTATTGTCCACGCGAAATCATCTGGGAAAATTGTTATCGGAGTTGTGAGAGCGCGATTAGATTTCCGGATTCAAGACGAGAAATAAGGAAGAGATGGTGGTGGTGGTGGTGTGACGGGTGGAAAGACTCAGCAGTCAAAAATACGATTAAAGAAATCTTGTTTACGGTGGAACGTACGTGGCGTTTCGTGGATTTTACAATGAGGTATGGAGAAGTGATGGGACAAGAGTTATTGCGATTGACCTTGTACGTGGGTAATCATCGGGACTGATATATTTCGGGAGAATTATGAATATACACGAAGGAAACACATTAGTGACACTCATTTGTTGTGAGTCAGGGACTCCTGGGTGAATATGATGCCACAAATTGCAATTCATGGGGAGTCAACGAACTGTTGGCATTTTTTTGCAATTTCCATAAATCGAGAACAATTTCTGTGGTGACTTGGTAAACTAGGATGAGTGATTGTTTTTTGGAAAACATTTTTTTTTGCTAAATCACTTCCACGAGTTGATGGGAAGCGATTTAACGAAAAAAATCTACTGTCGAAAAAAAATGCACTTATCGTAGTTTATTCAATCACTATGGATTTGTCAGGTGAGCATGGGCTCGTCCGAGAGGGGAAGAATTGTCGTTTAGAAGAAAAAAGAAATTGTCACATTTCATTAGAAATTTAAAAGGAAAAGTAAGAAATTTAATGCAAAAGTGTCCGGTTTACTCCACTTGAAGAGGAAAAATGCGGACTTGCTTTATTCTGTTCTCGGAGCGGATAACCTGAGAAAATGAAGGCACAGACTGAAAATCTAAGGGTCGTGGGTTCAAACCCGACCGCCGACGATTTTTCGCATTTTCTTGAATTCACTCATACCACATTTCAGCCAAAAATCGGAAATCAAATTTGTTCTTCTCGAAATTTCGAGTTGATTACCACGCCAATTCAGCCCACTAGTACCTCCCAATTTTCCATTTCAAAATATTTTTCCCCGTCTCAAGAAATCGAGTTTCTTATCATTAATAAATGGCCTCCTTCAGAATAAAAAATGACATTGTTTTCATAAAGTCAGATTCAATCTCCAACTCAAATATATTCAATTAAAACCCATTAATCACCACCCCAACAGCACCCAGCCACAAAAAATCACGCCTGAAAAAAATCCCTCCACCCCAATAATCCCTAAAACCCCAAAAAAACAAAATACAGAAATCCGTCGTCCTCAGCCAAAAATCAATTTCGAGTTGACCGCCACGTCAATCCAGCCCCCAATACCCCACAATTTTTCCATCGCCAAATCACCGATATTTCCATTCAAAAATATTTCTCCCCATCTCAAAAAATCGATCTTCTTATCATTAACAAATCGCCTCCTTCAGATTAAAGAATCCCATTGCATTCATAAAATTAAATCCACCCCACCCAATACTTGTCAATCTCCAACTCAAATATACTCAATTAAAACCCATTAATCACCACCCCTAAAACCCCTAAAACCCCTAAAATACAAAATACTGAAATCCATCGTCCTCGCCTAGAATTCGTTACCGTCATCCATCCATTCATGTTACATTTAATCCAAAAATCAATTTCGAGTTGACCGCCACGTCAATCCAGCCCCCAATACCCCACAATCTTTCCATCGCCAAATCACCGATATTTCCATTCAAAAATATTTCTCCCCATCTCAAAAAATCGATCTTCTTATCATTAACAAATCGCCTCCTTCAGATTAAAGAATCCCATTGCATTCATAAAATTAAATCCACCCCACCCAATACTTTTCAATCTCCAACTCAAATATATTCAATTAAAACCCATTAATCCCCACCCCAGCAGCCGCCAGCCACAAAAAATCCCGCCTGAAAGAAATCCCTGCACCCCAATAATCCCCAAAACCCCTGAAAAAAAGTACCGAACTCCGTCGTCCTCGCCTGGAATTCGTTATCGTCATCCATCCACTCAAGAAGCCCTCCCCCTCCCCCTCCCGCCCCTCTCCCATGACCGATAGCAGCGCCTCGCGGATGACTCATCCGCCGCTTCGGGATCGCGTCTTATCGGTGTGCGACCACAATTCCCCACACACAAACCGCCACGAGTAACCCACACACCGGCCGACAATCGCATCACATCCCAACGAGGACAAAATCCACACACACAACCAGTCCCTCACCACCCAATCCACGTGATCCCCCTCTCCCTCCGCCCCCTCAATCCACCAACACAGGTAGAATAACTTCTTTAAATGTAGATGTGGAGAGGCTCGCGCTTTGGAGGCCGTGACGCGACCGGTCCCCCAGTCACTGTTCAACGTCCGACGAGGACAGTCGAACCCGCGATTACTCATTCACCATTCATCAATATCTCCCTCCCCCCCCGCCCCTCCAACACCTTCCGCCTCGATAATTTCCGTGATCGTCAATGTGAGACTCGGAAAAAAATCGCGGAGATAGCGATCACCGTAAGTCTCGCGAATTCGGAGGATTTGGATTTTGTATTTTGCCGCCATGGACGTCAAGTGCAATTGGCGCGGCTCCTTCCGGTCTGCCGAACCTCTGGACGGCCTCGCCTGATCCCCCCCGCCCCGACAATCCCTCCCTCCCTCCCCCCCCCCCCC